CGAATGTAGCCACGAACCCAGTGAGGCTCGAAGCAGCAGAGGAAATGAGCTCAGGTAAAGCTCGACAGGAAGCAGCCAAGAACCGAGAGGCTCAAAGCAGAAAATAAGGTGAGCTAAGACGAAGCTCGAATGTAGCCACGAACCCAGTGAGGCTCGAAGCAGCAGAGGAAATGAGCTCAGGTAAAGCTCAAACAAATGTCATGTCGAAGAACAATGACGAAAATTGAGAGTCCAAAAAGAACTCGAATCAGGTAACCAAGGAGTCGGGCAATAAGAAAGCAAAAGTGTCAGAAAACACTTGAAGGAAGGAAGCAATGAAGGAAGCAAAGGGCCAAGAAAGGCTCGGAAGGAATATACAAGGCGTCAGATAAGACTCGGAAGGAATGAATGAATGAGTAGGGAAAGACTCGGAAACGAACAACAAATGGGTCGAGAAAGACTCGGAAAGGAATGAAACATTGAGTCAGAAAAGACTCGGAAAGGAACGCAAAAGGCAATAAAGACTCTGAACGGAATGAAAAATGAGTCGGAAAAACTGAAGTTTTTTCATAAATGAGTCACAAAAGACTCGGAATAGCAAAGCAACAAAAAACGAATTGAAAAGGGAAAATTGATGAAAATAACTTAATACATTATTCAAAGTAAATGAAGCTATGAACAATTGAAACGTTTAAAGTTTACATGGGTTAGAAATCAAGAGCAATAATTGATCTTTTTTTTTTTTTTAAAATGTAAATCAAATAAACTGCGATTAACTGTAAATAAATGAAATAATATTGTAATGGGGAAGTATTATAACAAGATATAATAAACCGCAGACGTAAAAACTGGGGAGGAAAAACAGTAACTAACCATAAATTTTTGGTTGTGGGGGAATAAAAAACACAGTGTAACGAGCTAATCAAAACTTTTTCGGGGCGCCAATATATGGTTTGGGTAACTTATCTGAGGAGAGTAGTACACCAATTGTTAGTAAGGGTAGTTTTAAGGGTTGAGTCAAAGGAGTTCCATGCAGTTGGGCATCAGTTGAGTAAGTACATGAAAAATAATACAATAGTAAATCAGGGATAAAACTAAGGTAAATATAATATCATAAATAGGGATATTATATTACATGGTACGGGGAATACTAGAAGGCGAACGTTAGAAAAGGGGAACTGTTAATAAGGGGGTTATTCAGAAAAGTTGATATTAATCCCGAGTTTTCGTATAAATTGAAACATTGTTTTACCTGAAAGTTTGTCATTTTCTTGTAAGTCATGCTGTTTTTGAAAAGTTGAGAGAAACGAGTCAGTCAGCTTGGCTGTAATGTCAAAAGTCAAGTTGAGAGAAAGGTGACCTTAATTGTTTACAATTAACAACTACACAAAAAGTTCTTTATCATTCAATTTTTTTAAGTGGGCTTAAGCTGAGACGTTTCTTTTGGACGATTCTTTTGGCGCTATGAAATAAAAAATATTTGGATTATCAGTTTCATAACTCAAGTCCAGGGGGTTTTCGATAAATGCGTTTTTATCATCATGGATTCTGAGGTTAGCACTAAACAAATTATGCAAAACTTGTTTAAATTCAAATTTACAATTTCATAATTTTTTTTTGGCGTAAAATTGCAACAATAGACTATTCTAAGTCAAGAAGATGCGTTCCCTATCTCAATACATAGGATGCCCGCCGATAACCTGAAACTTACTATATGCTACCGCGTGTCTTTCTACGTGGAGGAAACCTACAACCATTCCTAATACACAGGGAATCATATTCCCTATCTTAATTTTTAGAGTAGTAAGAGGATATCTATAGCCTATTTTAGAACATGGGGTCGCTATGAATACCCACGGTTTTTCCCACACATATACTACTTAGATGCGATTTTTTGTTAAGCGGTTTCGAAAGAGATTTTTGGTATCTTCTAGCCTATCGGCCTTGTTGATGCTTGATTTTTTAAGGTTATTGTTGTTTTTCTGCAGTACTATTTTCTATGTTTTTTTTGGTTAAAAAAGGGCTCTTTAATGTTTTTTACTTGCTATTGTTTATAAATTTTCGACTTTGTGCGGCGTGCTGTTTCTGCGTACCATTTGTGCTTTTTGCTCATTTTTGCTTTTTTGGTTTCGTTGGCAAAGAAACTGCATATGCTATTCGCAAATATTGAGAAAAAATTGTTTTGAACCGCTTTTGGATTTCTTGAAAAGCATTTGCTATAGACTCGTTTTGCCTCCAATGAGGCACTTTAATTGGTAGGGCAAAACTTTGTCACAGGCGACAATTCGTTTCAAGCAGCGAATCGTAACACGATATCAGCAAGACATAAGACGGCAGGATAAATCAATTTAACTATCTGGTTGTGTATTTTAACTTGCATCCAGTCATTTTGGAATGATGTCTAATCGGATGTAATCAACACTTAAGAGTTAAGAGCACGAGTATATTATATTTTAATTGCGTTTGAATAGTCAAATTGGCAACTTATAAACCCATAACTGTACAAAAAGATAAAACATCATTTTAAATTTGGGATCTTGACTTCAATGAGTTTTGGATGGTATAGAAAACTTCGTTTAAAAATTGCTGTGACGGAAAAATCTGTTCACTTGTTTTTGCCGACACGTATCATGTGTTCCAACGAATCAACCGGACAATCTCCCCCTTAAGTGACCTAACGTAGCTTGTCCTTCCAGAGCACAAAATGTAAAAATTTTGAAAATTATTAAGACTCGTATCAAGACGAAGCCCTGATTGTTCTGCGTCCTTCTCAGGTCTATGGAGAAGAAATAACATGAAAAAGTTAATTGAAATAAAATAAAATAAAATGAAAATTTTATTTTTAAAAAATAAAATTTTTGTGAAAATTATCCCCCCTCACGCCATATAAAGTACAAAGTGATAGATTTCGCTCCTATTATTAAATCAATTATGGCAAACAAGCTTCTTTCAACCAATTTTGAACGATTTTTAAGACGGATTAAAATTCCGCTCACGCGTTGATAACGCGAGATATATCGCGCGTTAATTGTCCCAAATCGGCCGAAATGGCAGTTTTAAACCTCCATACCTTTAAGAAATTGATCTCAGGTAAAAAAAATTAAATTCAAGCTCAAAACAGCAATACTTTTTGAATGATTATTGGTCAAAACCAGCAGCATTTCATATATAGTAATATAATTTTTGTCAATTCTTTTTATACTTTCTTTTAAAACCGGAATAAAAACAGCCCATTTTGATTATTGCAATCTTTCCATGTAATTTGAAACAGACCAATTGTACAACCCAAATCAACTAACGGGAAAATAGGGATTTTTCAGGAAACCATTTTGAGTATACCATCGATTTATACAAATTTAACAGTTTTAATAGAAAAAAAGATTCAAAATAAATATTTTTGGTTATTAACAAAGTTCTAATTCAATCCCACACAAGCCTTATAATAACGGTTTTTGTGTGGAATCTTTCGAATGTCAGACTTAACACCTTATTGATCCGACTTTAATAAGTAACGGAATAAATGAGAACGAAAGTAACGGAATATTTGTGCTCGATGTGGGTTTTTTTCTTCCATAAAAGTTTGTACTTTTTAACTAGCCCTTTTTGACGGAACTTGTAGATCATTCAAAAAGTACTGTTGTGCTGAGCTTAAATTTGAAAAAATATTTTACCTCTGATCATTTTTTTTTGCAAAGTTATAGGAGTTTAAATATTGACATTTTGGCCAATTTGGGAAAATTATTGCTCGATATAACTCGCGCTATTAACGCGTAAGCGGACATTTATTCCGTCTTAGAAATCGTTCCAAATTGGTTGAAGAAAGCTTACTTGCCATAATTGATTTGTTTATAAGTGAAATCTATCACTTATTACTTTATATGGCGTGTGGAGGATGATTTTTACAAAAAAATCTCATATTAAAAAAAAATATATTTTTTTTACATTCACTTTTTTGATATTATTACAGCTTTAAACCTTAGAAGGCAGTCGGAACTTTCAAGGTTTCGTCTTGATACGAGTCTTGTTGTTCCGACTTTCGATACGAAAGTAACGGAATATTTGTGCTCGGGGTGGGTTTTTTTTTCTTCAGACAAATTTCTACTTTTTAACTAGCCATTTTGACGGAATTTTTTTACATCATTCGAAAGGTATTGTTGTCCTGAGCTCAAATTGGAAAAGATGTTTCGCCTGTGATCATTTTTCAAAATGTTACGGGGGTTTAAAGATTGCCATTTTGGCCAATTTGGGACAATTAACGCGCGATATTTTTCGCGCTATTAACGCGTAAGCGGAGAGTTAATCCGTCTTAGAAATCGTTCCAAATTGGTTAAAAGAAGCCTATTTGCCATAATTGGTTTGTTACAAGGAGCGAAATATATCCTTTTGTAGTTTGTATGGCGTGTGGGGGGATGATTTTCATAAAAAGTTTCAAATTTTAGAAAAATTTTTTTTTTGATTTTGTTTCATTTCATTGAATTTTTTAATGTTATTACTGCTCCATAAATCTTAAAAGGCACTCGAACATTCAGGGCTTCGCCCTGATACGAGCAATTTTGTTAAATTTTAAAATTTTTACATGTTCTGCTTGGGGAGGACAAGCTGCGTTAGGTCACTTAAGTGGGAGATTGTCCGGTTGATGCGTTGGAACACATAAAACTTGTGTTCGAGAACAAGTGAACAAATTTTTTCATCAAAATTTAAACTTTATATTTTAAATTCAAAGGAAACTGAAAAAAAAACTTTCGTTAATTGACGTCAGGATAAGAATATCAGCTAAGGGTTGTGTTTTCGATAACAGATAGAATCTACAAAAGAGCACAAAGCAGATAGTTTTTTTTTGCTACAATAGCTTGATCAATAACAGAACATGTTCCAGAAACTTCGAACTTAATAAATTGGCCGCCCAGAACTGTCGTTTGGTATTGGTGTTCAATCATTCATTACTATTACACTATGATCTCAAAATATGAACTTAACATATGAATTTATATACTACTATAGTTTGTCCAGTATTCCTACAATATAGCCCCAAACAACGCTTAAATTTCATTCTCTAATTCAGTTTGTACAAAATAAATTCAGTATGACAGTTCTTGGTACTATGGACAAACCTCGACTTGATCTGTTGTGCCCATTTATATTACCTATTGTAATCATACATTCATTTACAGTGCAGGTAGGTTATAATGGGCCGGGAAAATCTGAATACAGATAAAACAAACGTCATTCGTAATTTTCTGAAAAAGAAACAATAAAGCTCTAGCTAATTCTTGTCCCAGATTCGCTCTAGCCGCTCCGATGCGGTTACTTTTGGCTCGAGCGATAATTGACTGAATGCTGCCCATGCTTCTCACGAGCTTTTTCTGTAATTCAGCTAAACTTATTTACTTTTTAGTTAAACGCTGATTGAACTTCGCATTTTTGTTTCAACCTTCAAAGAAAGTAGCGGAAAGTTACAAAGCTCAGAGACGTTTTTTCACTTTTTGTACCATCTATAAAATATCGATTCTAATATAAAAGATTTGAAAATTGCCTATTTAGGGTACATCCCGCATCCAGTTTCAAGCGTTAATAATCGATTATATTACGATTTTAGTACCAGTCTCACTATAATTGAGAAACAATCAATTTCAATCAATTAATAATCGATTATAATCTCTCTTTATAAATTCAAATTATAATTAATTATAATCCATTATAATCGATTATAATCGATTATTTATTCGTCTATTTTTTGATACAATTATAATCGATTATAATTGATTATAATCCATTATTTTTATTCAAATCTATTTTTTTAGTTTTGCACAAAAATCCATTATAATTGATTATAATTGATTATAATCCTTCTTGTTTGTCCATTTTTGTCTTCGAAGTTGCATCTAATTTGCTTATATTTTATGATTTTCGTGTACGTTGGTTCCTATGAAAAATGAGAAAAATGTTTTTAAAGTTTTCTAATTAATTCAAATTTATAAGTTTTTTTCTTCATTTCTTCCCCATTTGAGTTGTTTTGTGATGCATATTTTAAGCTTTTTTAAACACCAAAACATCAGCAGATTGATTTAGTTTCATGATTGATTCGGAAAATTTATTTTTCATCTACCGCGAGAACCTTTCCACTCATATGAAAGGATCTCCATGAAACTTTTGTTTCATGGTATAACTTTGTGTTCAGATGAAACAAAGTGTTCAAGAGATCTCTCTTTTAGAGATTTTTTTACTGACACAAAAAAATAACCCATAAGATATATTTCGAATATAAGAAAATTTCGGAAAAATAAGAGATTACAATCGATTATAATCGATTATAATTGATTTTAAGGGTTTTTAGTAAGAACTATAATCAATTATAATCAATTATAATCGATTATAAGAGATAATAATCTCTTGGAAAATATCACGATTATAATCAATTATAAATCCCTTAAAGACATAAATTTGGTAATTATAATCGATTATAATTGTCAAAAAATCATCATAATAATCCGTTATAATCGATTATTTACGCCTAAACTTGGATGCGGGATAATTATTATCTTATATGTTATTTGGAGCGAAATGAAACTAAAATGAAGTGAGGCAAACTAATTGATTCAATTATTGCATAAATAGTTGCTAGTTTTACCATTTTACGCTGGACATAATTTTTTTTCAAAGTTGTGTGAACTTTTTCTTTGTTAAAATGTTAAACTGGTTGTCGGTGATGGATTTAACTTTCAAATACAGAACGGTGATAATATTGACTTTCAGTCTCAATCAATTTTGGCCCCAATTGCGGGCACCAGATGTACACAGGGTAATGAGGAGACCAAATTTGATTTTTTTTTTCGAAAAAAATGCTACTGCTCTTGAAAAAATTTGTTTTTGTGAGACGTTTTTTTAAGGACTAGAGTAAGAAACAAGTTTGAGCCATTGTAGATGGAGTTCCGTCAGTCAGATTCCAACTAGCTTCAAGAAAACTCGTGCGGGTGCGATGGAAGATCTGTATCGTTGTTCGTTCAAACTGTCTAATTCTTTCTCTGGTTGTTAGTGTTTCCTTTTATTTTTCCGACGTAGTTTTCTTTCGATCAAATTCTTTAACCTAAAATTTTTCAATCTTTTTCCAATTAAAGTACGTGAAAGACAAGTTCAAGAACAAAATCATCGGCGAGGTTGTTTAAAATTTGAAGAAAAAAAATTGGCAGTTCGTTCAAATTTTGATACTTAAATATTAATAGATACCGGGCAATGTTTCCATACACAATACTAAAACTTACATTGCTTGCTCGTCAGTTCGTCTGATTTCAATGGACTGTGTATGTTTTTAAGGTCTAAGTTGGTAAACCAAACTTCTCCAATGGATTTTTCAGACAGTTGGGATGGTTTGGTGGATTGGTTTTAAGGCTTAGTGAAAATAGGTGACTTTCATTTGATTTTTTCTTCTTTCGATTCTATTTTTTCGGGTTGTTTAAGGAATTTTTGTCGAAAAAAGTTTCTATGCGAGGAAAATTCTGACGCGAGGAAAATAGTCGTTTCCAAAGATGCTGCATCTGTGATGACAAATGCAGTTGCCAATTGACTATTTGTTCAGTCATATTTTTTCAAATACGGATCGCGCAGTTTTTGTTATTGGACTACGTTCTTCCTAAAAAAACTTACCGGGCTTTTCGAGTCTATTTGAAAGTTTAATCGAACAAAATTTCCCTTTATCAATCCAATATTTAAATATTCCTTCAACTCTTTTCCTTTATCATCGAAAATTGTCGGTACATTGAGCACCGAATAATCGTCGTTGTCACATTGTCTTGCTTCATACCATGCATTATTTACACCGCAGAAACCTTTATGTCCATGGTTAGCTACATCAGGCTGATCTGACGGATATACAAAATCGGTATTTACAATTTCTTGATCCTGAATTGTTTACATTCTTCTTTTTATATTTGCAGTTTTTGGTTAAATGAATTTTAGAATCACATACTCTACAGAGAGCTGGACATACTGCGAGGCGTCCTTTTGCGAATTTTCCTCCACATTTTGAACACGCATTTTCTCTTCTACAGCTAACGTGGGCTCCTGTTTGTTAAAAATTTAAATGTTTTTTACAGAATGATTATGTACAAAACGTGCAGGTTGAAAATTGTTGGTCATCATGAACAACCCTTTTTCATCGATTAAAGCTATATTTAAGTCTTCGTGAGGTGATAAGTTTTGTGTGAGCAATACTTTTTGAAGTTCATAGTTCTTCTTTTTTGTTGTTGAATATATCTCGAGTCTTTTCGTTTTCTCCATTTGATGTTTCATTTTTATACCATTTCTGCCAAGACGTCTCAAATTTGCTCCAGTTTTCTTTTTTAGGTTGGAGTCCGTTTCAGAGTTTTTGGTGTTCAAAGGTTAGATTTGGCTTTCTACAGAATGCTTGATTTAAGATTTCCCAGAATTTTGCGAAGCTAAACCGAAGGATTTTGACCTTTAAAAAAACTTTGGCGTGAAGATGAGTTTTCCATTATTAGTGCAAAATAGAACCTTGATTGCATCATCACGTTTACTTCTTCGATACCATTAACTATATTCGTCTCCAGTTTGATTCGAATATTTTTGCTTTCGTCAAAGCGTCTCTTCAATGCCTGGTTCCTGGCTGGTCTTTCGAATTTCACCGTGGTGGAATCTTTCTGTAGTTCTTTTTCATTTTGTAAAATTTCAGGTTTCAACCATTCCAATGGATGTAATAATTTCAAAATCGAAGTTTTTTGTTTATTAGTGACAATTGAAAGATATCCCTCCAATCTACCCATGACTTTGAGAATCGATCGTGTGAGTTACCAGAACGGGGGAACTCCCCTCTTACCAGAATTGTTTACAGATGACTGCGCCTAAATGAGCGGTTCTGTTTTTCAAACTAAATTAAGCTCAAAATGAATAAGATAGAGATTTTGCTAACTCAACGCAATAACACTGATTTCGATCACTCCAAAGGAGATCGCTATGAATAAAGTCAAGGTCAAAAACAACCTATTAAAATAAAGTAATTAAATGAAAGCTATCAGAGCAGTGGAGATTGAAACAATGCTACAGAAAGGATATTAACTACAGATTATATGTATCATATGTTTTCTTTTGCAGAATAGGACAAGATTTAAGCTTCTTTTTTGTTGTAAGACTCGGGCGGATTTGCAGCCTCTTCTTTCGCCGCTTCTCAATCAGGAGTGTTTCAATTGGGCTGAGCTGAAGAGTGGCTTCCGCATGCACGAGGAGGCGTGTGAGTACTGGCACAACAAAAACACCATCTACGACATGGAGGGAGAGAAGAGCCTGGAGATGGAGAGCCAGTGCATGAAGGTCATCGACATGAAAAGTGAGTTTTACTATAATTACTTTAAAGTATTTAGAATGTAAATTTAGGAAATCTCTTCCAAGTTAATGCAAATCTTTTTGCAAAGAATATGAAATATAATACGGGAATTGTAACTATTAAGCAGGCATCAACCATTATTTCAGAAAAACGGCTAAAATTTTCGTATTCAAGTGGTTCGTTATCTGTAAAAATTATTGGGATGGCATTGCTAGTATTTGTAGTAATTTTGGAAGCTAATAAATTTATGTCGCTGAAATTTCTTGTCGTGTTATTTGCCTTGCACCAACAAAATAGTTCCATATTGAATTGAGGCTAGAGCTAAACGGTCGTATTTTTTTTTTCGTACGACCCAAATTATCACAATTGATCTTCGATATTGTTGAGAATTTATTGTTTTTCAATCTTTTCTTTTCCCAAAAATTATTCGATATGGATTAAGGGGCAGTCGGAACATCCAGGGTTTTGCCCTGTATACGAGCAAAGTTTTGTTCCGTTATGTAATTTTTTACAAATGTTTCAGATCATCAATTATTTATATGTTTGAATGATGTAAAGTTTTGCGAATATTTGCTAAAGATTAGACATAGTCTCCCCCATATCCGAAAAACTTAGCCCTAAAGACTTAGTCATTAAAAAACGCTTCTGCTTACCTCGACCCATTTTGGAGTTCATTTTCTGTTTTAAGTGTTCTATCATGGTCGCTACGTGGGCAAGATAGACTACGCTTCTCTCTCGTGGGGCTTCGACGTCAAGGTCTTCGACTGTCACGGAGTCATGATAGCCAGAGCGAAAGAGGAGACCTCGGACTTCTTCATGAATTCCTTCCGAGCTAGGACTGTCATCACTTTGTACGACTACAGCGGAGAAGTAGTGGGTTACTCTTTGAGAAATAACATGGGAGGCACGACTATAGAGTTGCAGACCCTTCAAGGTGTGCTAGCTATAAGTTTTATCAAATTATACCCAAATTATTGTAGCAGGAAACTTATTTGTTTTTATTCAGTCGCTTATTTGTTGTCGTACTAGGGTAGCAAGGATAAATTAGTTGTCACGATTCGCGATAAGCAATGCAGTCTAAAAAAACTGAACTATTTCATACTGTGAAAAGCAATATTGAGTTAGAACCGATGTGGTTAACTCATAGAGTAATTTCGGATAGTGTACATCGTCTGCTCGTCACGCTATCTTATTTTCGGCCGGATAGATTCGTGCAACTTCTTAGTCTAATACCGATCCTAATCTTAATCTTATATCTACTAGTCTCAGGGTTTTTAACTAGTCTCTGCTAGGCTCAATATATCTAGAGTATACTGGCTTATTGCAACTGCTGAAGTTCTCTTGGAGAGGCAACTAATTTCTAAGTTAAATTCAAATCTCTCTGGTGCTGAAATTACAAGTAATTTCAGCACTTACAAATAAGTGGGTTGTTAGTTGGATGGATTATGATTGGTTAATATTAAAAATTTTACAGTGGTAAAATATCTAATTTATCCAATAATAAAATGTAGTTTAGATCAGGTTCCACCCATCCGGGGCTTACAGAACTTTTTTAGAACTATCTTTCTTCTCTGCACTTTGAAGGATGGATGATGAACGTTGGTATTAGGCGAACATCATTTTCTTGTCCGGTTCCTTTTGGAGAAGAACGTTCCAGGACGCTGGAATTATGGATAGGAAATTATTACGTCGTCATTCGACAACGACTGTGATCCCAATGAAATCAATCCGATTTCAAAATGGTTTGCTATGACAGGTTTTTCTGTTTTATGTAGAGAACTTGTTTTGTGTGCAATTTCGTCTGGGAATGGCGTGAAGATCGTGTGTGGAAGGGATGCCTTGTAACTCGGATCTGTACGTATACTTGAACATCGAGGTGGTCATTGTTCTAGTTCAATGAAGTCCTTTTCTGCGAAGTCAAGTCGTACTCTAAATCCTTTGAGTTGTGATTGTGGACGGCATATCGGTTGTGTTTAGCCATTCTTGTGTTCGGGTGTGATGGGATCATCTAGTCTTTGGATGTTCGTCTTTGTTGTTGTGTATGATCTATATACTGCAAATTATGTTAATTTGTTTTTTTTAATCATGAATTTAGTTAGTAGTTTTCACAAAAGCGTTTTGTTTTAGTTTGGTTATTTTGAAGAGTTACTCACCCTTGAGTACCTCTTATTAAAAATAGGAGTGTGGTCACAAAGCGTGGATGTAGCGCGGTGGGTTAGGCCGGCTATAGAGCATGCTCAGGACGTCCTCTCTGGTGGGTTAGGCCAGGAGTGAGAGTATGATTTCATGCTGTTTCTTTGAGAGGTCCTGTTATGTGATAACGTTTTATGTTGAGTTTATGTTGGTCTTTCTTATGTTACTTTGGTTGTGTCCTTTTTTCAAAAATCAAATTGTTTTTGGTATGGGTTTGTCTTGCGACTTTTTTGTGTTTTATTATTTCTTTCTTAGACTTTATAATAATCTTCAAAAGAATAAATTATCCAGTTTTAAACTGGGTTAGTCCGGTTTGGGTACCGTTGGTTTTCTTTTCTTAGTCATGCTGTTATTTTATGGTTGTGGTGTTTAGTAAGCTGCGTTGGTTAGTTTGGTTTAGTGTATAAATCCTTTCCAACCGGGTTAAAGGAAAGTTTGAAACTTGTTATCGTGTGTTAGGGTTGTTGATAGTGAAAGCTTGAAACTTAAAATCAATATTTAAACAACTCTTTGTGGGCGAGCTGTGCGAGTTTGGATAGAATTCTTGTGCGAGTGAATGAAAATATTGAAAAAAGGTTAGTACTGCTTTCTCATTTTATCAATTTATTGCATAGAATTTGAAATTTTACTGCGTTTTGGGGAAATTTAAAATTATAAATTTTCATCGTATTTAAGTTTACTGCTTCATGGGGAAATAATTTAAAAATAAAATTACTACGTTTGGTATAAATTTTACCACATTATTTAGTGCAAGAAATTAATGAGTCTTAAAATAATTTAACAAGTTTTTTTTTCTCTTCTGTTTTGTAGGTGATCGTGGTGTGAAGACTAGAAATATAAATCAAACATTGATAGAAAATGGTTAGTACTAATTTAAATTTTTTAGTTAAGAGTATTTGAAATTATACTTACCTTAATCTTCTGGGGAAAAAACCGTGGGGAAAGATGTCGTGTATCATATCTGATGCTGTTAGTAATTTGGCTAGTATGATGTTTTTAGTTTGTAGCAGTGGCCAAAGCAATTGAAGTGCTTTAATGGTGTTTAGTTCTTCGGTGCCTACTGCAAACTCGTAAGGTGTGTTTTGAATGAGGTTATATTTTTTATGATTATATTTAGTATTGTGAATGAATTGTAATATGGGTATTTCAATAGGCTGGATAAATTCATGCGGGATAAGGAAGGGTCTTGATTCTTCGGCATTGAATGTCTTCGTGATGGGACAGAATATATACATTTGGGTAACTGGGTCATAGTTGCGGAGGATTCCGTGGAGGTTAGTATATATGATGCAATATGTAAAATTAAGGAAAAATGGTGACGTGTACTTTGAGTTAAGAAACTGAAAACGTTAGTGAGGTTGTCTTGATGGGGTGTGCAAATCAAAATGATTTTGTATAAAACGATAGCATGTATATGTGTGCGTTTGTTTAGTGGGTTACATAATTTTGTGGGAACAGTGCAAATCGCGTTCCTGTGGTGAAAGAAAGTGAAAGGTTAGGTAAAATAACTGAAATTTATCATAGAAGCTCTCGTATGCTTGAATATCAGCTAGTGATTCTGAAATAATGTGGTCATGCTTTCTATCAAAAATATTAAGTGTGAATACGTATGATATTTTGATGAAAAAGTTTTCTGTTAGCTGTGGGTTTGCGAAGCGGTTTTCATCTAAAAATTGGTCTTGATTAGGGCGGATGATATTATGGTCGTAGTATTCTATTGCAAATTTGTTAGCTCGGGGTGCAGTGAATGTTTTTAGTAACTTTTTATATCCAACGTAAGTAACTTGTCGAGGTGTTAGTGTTGTAGTGAGTCTATATAACATGTATTTGTTTTTTTCTATGCTGTCATGAGTATTTGTTAGTGGTAGGCAAAGAGGGTTAGTAAAATTATAATAAGCTGTTCAATGAAGTGTTGGCATTAAGACATGTTCATCTACAAAATTGCGTGTGTCATTAGTATCGTTAGGGTTAGGTAATGTATATTGCGGAAATGAGGGTAAGGTGATTTCAAGAAAATTTTTCGTGTTGGTGTGCTGCGGGTGATTAATATATTTGCGGGCTGTTCCGGGATTGGTTGGGAATGGGTGATTTGGAAATTTTCGTTTAAAAGTGCGATAAGCTCTGTGAGTGCTAGTAGGTGTTTTGGTGGATGTGGATGATTGAGCTAATGATGGAGTGTAAGCTGAGGAGGGTGTGGGAGTAGGTGGATTTGAGGGTGTTATTGTGGATGATAGTTGATGTATTGTAAGAGTGTTGGGGTGTATTAATTGTTGTTGTAAAATTGTAAAATTATCGAGCTCCTGGGAAATTTGGGGGGTATCTGGGGACTTTATATATGATCTGTCGGAATGAAGTGGAGAATAGGTTGGGGTCACTTGGGAACCGTAAGAAGGAGTGGAAATGGAGGGGAGTGGATGATTAGATGGGATTGGTTGAAAAGGGGTTTTGAAAAAACTGAGGAGTTGGTCTGGGTATAATTAGAGGGAGATGGTTCGAAGTCAGGGGTTTCTACATTAGAGTTATTAAGTTGTGAGATAGAATATAAAACTGAAATATCTGAGTTAGTATCAGAATTCGTGCTTGATGATATATTAATAATCGGAAAATCGGGTGGGAAAGCGAAAAGTGGAATTATCGGAATTTGGTTTTGGAGGTTGGCTGGGTGGGAATTTGAGCGATGGAGGGATCCAAGTTGTCGGCTCATTGCGGCGGGCTAAAAAAATGATTATGTTAAGACCGAAAAGTGGTGGTGTGGGGTTGTTCTATAATTTGTTCGTATCTATTATCATTTTGTGAATGATGTGTCATTATATGTTGGATGGGACTTTGTGTTGTATTTGGTCTGGAATTTGGATTATTTGTGATTGCTAGGTTTCGGAACTTTCGGGGAACTAATGATAATGGATGATTTTGTGGTAGGGGTGGCAACTGTGGTGCGGTAGTAGTTATTTCTATATTATTGTGATCTTCGTCGTAAGTGTTTTGTCTTGTGGATTTTTTTGTGTTGTATTTTTTTATTTGTGCTTCTAGAAGTATTTTGTTTATTGATGATGAAAAAATTCCAAAAAATCCTGCAAATAGTTTACGTGCTACACTTGCTTGTCTGTTTACTTGTGTGTGTATAGCGCATGTATTATAGATTCCTTTTAAGAGTGAGAAAAGAAATCCTATAAAATTTAACATGGCGTATAAGATAGTTAATTTTTCTAAGATGTAATAGGGCCATCCTAGAAAAGCTAGAATTTCGTTCTTTAAGGTGACAAAACTGAAAATATTTACAGGTGAAATATCTTGTAATCGGTATTTTTTACCGTTTAAATATATGTAGTCTTTAATGTCTTTAAAATATCCGCTATAAAATCTTGTGTATAAATGTCTGCGAATCCTGCAGTTTCGGCAAGTTTTCTTAAATTCTGGTCAATTGATTGTCTTTGTATTGTGTCCATTTGTGTTAATAATTCCTGAAATTGTTGTGTTCTAATGTGATGTTGGGTATCTGATTTAGAATATATTCCAATTAATTGTAAATCAATATTTGGATTACGAGCAATAGCTTTGATGCTTTCGGGTGAAAATTTTTTGAGTGATGGCATTAATGTAGGGTATGGTGTAAGGAGATAGTATTTATCTTCATCAGGATTTAATTGTACTACATTGTGGCTATTTTCTGATCCACATGGGACTGCGGTATCTCAAAAATATGTTCGTCTTGAAAGTGTGTCGACAAAATGTACTTTATTT